ACCTACCTCAATTTGATCCTAAATTTTAGATAGCACAAATTCTCATCAAAAGTGATTGGCTGATATGAAACATGTCAGTTTTTGAAATATAAACAAGCTCCTATTTGTTATATTCACGTGTCTTGCTATATCATCGATAATATAAGAAAAAAAGTTCTAGAAAAAGTGTTCTTCTAATTGTGTATGTTCAACTTCCAGAAAACAATTATGATACTAAAAGGTGAGTAACAGGTAGAAAAAGAAGATTAACTCTTATCTATCACTAAGTTTTTCAGATGGTGAAAAGGCTTTCTTGAATAAAAGTTGAGGTCTCCAAGTTTCTATTCTAATTAAACAAAGTTCTTGAAAAGATTTTTTTATCCCAGTCAGGCAAACTCTTTCATAATATAGCACTGGCTCCATAAGTATTAAGTGAATCTATATATTGGCAGAAGGATAAGTTCCTCAAATATTCTTCTTGAAGTTACTTTCAGGAATGGTTAAGTTTCTCAAATATCATAAAGCTTAAAAAATATTTCAATCAGGCAAACCCCTTTCGAGAGGAAACTATAAAATAGAGCAAAAACCTTTTGGAGGGGTTTGAATTATATTTTTTTTCTCCTTTTTTCTCCAGTGCAAACTTTAGCAATTCATCATTTTTCAAGATAATTAATAGTGACAAACTGTTGGTAATGATCCTGATTGACTTAGAGGCTAATACCAAACTACTAGAAAAGCATAATATTGTTTCCAAAATCTGATTTAGAGTACCTAGTTTAGACTTAGTTTTGTTTAGTTCAAACTAGCTTAGTAGACTCCTCATATTTTTTAAGCAATGTAGTTCTTTAACTAATAATGTATAATAACAAGTTAGTTACTTTGTGAAAATCTATAAACTTTGTAGTATCTTTTAATATTTCAATAAAGACATACTATTGCAGTATAATTGCAGATTAAAAAAAAAAAAACAGGTTAATTATGTGAACTTTATTAAATATTTGTAAATTATACATATAATATAAGTCGCTAAAGCTAAAAAACACTAACTAGCTTACTTATCTTTATAATTATTATTCTAAGTGCAACTTTGAAAATGATTTATCACTCCATTAGAAGTTAGATGAAAACTGTTTCAACTTTTAATATTATTGCCTATAGATCACTATTGCGGATTACTCTTTCAAGTTTTGATATTACTCAAAACTCAACTATTTTATCACGAATCTAACAGCTCTTGATAATATATCCTTTAAATCTTTATCTTCTAATTTTTTTTTCTCTAGTATCAGAGTTTTCCTTTCCAGTTATATGGTTTTAGTACCTGAGAGATTAATGGATCTTTTTATCTTATCTTTTATTTGGATTTCTTGTAATCTTTTTCATTTTATTATCTTTTCACATCTTGTATTTCAGATTTCTTTCAAAACTGGTTACAAGTTATACTTTGCAATTTCTTGATCTATCTTTTTGCTTCTTTTCCAATTCTTTTACTATAGTATTTAAGATTTGTCATCTTAAAGATAAGTTCACTTCTTATTAACCTTGCAAAGAAACTTAATATATCTTGACTAGTTGTTAAGAACTATTTTACTAGTTTAAATGTTCACTTGTCTATTTTATCTATTTCTTTATTGTTATTCACTATTAATCTAGTATTTTTCTTTTCTGTTTCTTTTTTTCTTTCTTATAAGAGTTTTGTAAAATTTGGTAGAACTCTTTCAAGGCCTTTATTATATATCTTTTTCATCTGTTCCTTGTATACTGGACATTTTAGCAAGTAATTAATTGTTTCTTTCTTCTAAAGATTGTATATAATATATTTTACTTTCTTGTATAAATTTAACCTTCTTATAATTAGTTTATTCAGTATTGATAGCTTATTATTTATCAGCTTGATAAGAAAGCTTTTTCTTTAAGAATCTTTGAAATATGTATTCCACATATGACTATTCATTCTCTTCTATACTAGATTCTATATATGGTCTTGTTGTTCTTGAATTTGGTAGCTCCATTTCTTTTTCATTCTGTTTTGTAATGTCTACTGATATGCTATAGTTTTATTATTTATTTTTTTGATGAATTGTTTCATAAGATTATCTAAAGTTTTGTTTTATTACTTGATTTCTATAAGGATTTTATATAAGGTGAGATTTTTCCATTCTATCATTAGAAGTTTGAAAGTATCTTTGGCTGAAGCATCTGTTTCATCATAATAGGAGTCTTGAGAGTATACTTTAACTTTAATAAGCTTTAGATCTAAATTTTTTTTCTTGATCAGCTTAGCTATTCATACCATAATAATCAGTTTTTATCCTTTAACCATTTTTTCTGTGTGTTTTTTTAGCCATCTTTCTCATTTATTTTCCATTTTGAGATACAGGCTTGACTATCTATAGAGATTTTAATTGAGCTATCTATTGGAACCACCAAAAGTTTTTTTTCTTATATACTTATTTATATGATTTTATATATATATATTTCCTTTTTTTCTAATATAATTTCTTATTTTGTTTAGTGACATTGACTTTTACAATTAGTTGTTAATAAAATAAGCAATTAAAAGAATATTTATTTTCAAGTACTTATGAAATATTATGTTATTTCTATGATTCAACTTAGAGGTTTTGGTTTAAGACAAGTTTTTTAATAGGAAAATTGGTTTAGCTTAGATACAAGGCTTGAGTATAATTTGTACTAAATAATCAATAAACATAATAAATATACTATATACAATTGACCTGACTTAATAAATTATTGAAAAAAAAAATAAATAATAAATAAAAAATAAATAAAAAATAAAATAAAATAATAATATTATCATAAACTTAAAATTGATAAAATAATAGTAAGTGAATTTAAACTTTTGTAAGCCTCTGTAATTCATTTATTTATTTGAATTAAATCTTTATTAATTTGCTGTAAACTTTTGAATTGTTATTTTATTATAATACAATTCACCTTTTAATTGTTTTTATCAAATATTTCCCAAAATTTAATATACAAAATGCTAAATAAATGAAAAATTTTATATTTTTATAGTATTTAATCACAATATCAAGAGAGTAGATCTTTATTAAAGTTGAAACCTAATAAGTGGATCTGTTTTTGGAAGCAATGTCATTAAATTAACATTCGGAAAGTAAAACCTTAATCTTGTAAGATCGATATATTCGTGTCCATTAATCGGAACATCGAAGATTCTTAGTAGTTATAGGAGTAAACGCCGCACATTTTAAAATCCTGCAAGGGATGAAACAGTCAAAAGTAGGAAACTTTTTGTAAATTACTATGAACATGCCAGGCTTGGGAATCTTTAACAGTGACGATCTCGGAGCCCGTAAATGTCCACGAGGTTCATCCTTATCTTCGATAACGGAGATAGTCTTTTATGTAATCAAGGGTTTTCCATCACATTTGCTAATTACAATAAAATCATTTGTCGCGTGGAAAAAATCTTGGGAGGGAAGAAGACCGCGCAAAAGGAAAGCAAAACAACCGTTGACCAATGACGGCGCTCAAACAGAATGCCCAGGCTTACCACGTTATGCATGCTGGAAGACAGGGAATCTTTGTAGATTAGTGTCAGAGGTGTGTATAAGTATTATGGTGATAATTACAAAAATAAATTCATATTATGCCCCCCCAAAAAAAGATAATTTCTCTCTAATGGACACGTGACTACATTTTAAATTACTTTTATATGTGACTGTTATGTATTGTAAATGCGAAATGTTCTTGAATCCATATTCTCGAAAACTCTTCCTGGTTTAATGTCAACGCTTGCTGGATGAACAAATGAAAGTGGAAGCCCGAGATTCACAAACTAATAACACGAATCAAGGTACTGTTAAAATTAATGTTATATATGAATGCAAGATACACATTAAAGTTGATTGTACTGTTACAACAACGCAATGTCTTATCATCTGTCACACCCTAAAGTTGAATCTCTATCTAATAATTTGAGCACAAGCAATTTTTTGTCACACTATACACGAATAAAGTTGGAATCGACTAAACACTGGTCCATTTACATTACAGAAACACCCTGCGATTTAAATTCTATTTGGAAATCTCATCTATAATGAAATCAATAATGTATGTGTATTCACGACTTCCTCAAATTCCATCTGAATTGTGAGGAATGCGATTCGCACTTTCGGGTCGGTGTATGTTTACTAAGCCATCGTCGCATTATCGCGACATGCCGTGACCTGATTCGGCAATAAAAAAGAAATACTTAACCATAACTTCTAGGTAATTACGTAACACAAATCCTTTCTCCGGAGATACATGCATGCAATCGTAAATTAAAATTTACCAAAGTTAAATAGGAGGTACAAAATATTTTCCTTAACCGACGTCGTTTGCCTCTCGTACACACTACGGGGTGAAATTCTGGATTTAGCAAAGTTTTCCGAGTTTCTCTTTGAAAAAATACGTGTTTCACCCATTTATAAAAGAATAATTTATATTTGTTGTCGCGCGTATCCTCCGTACTTGCTTTAAGACTCTCGTTCATCGAACTTTGTTTGTTATTTTAGTCACCACGATTCTAATCGTCATGTGGGATCAAAGGAGATAACTTTGAGTAACAGTTTCAGTTCTTCATCTCAAGTGCATCTATCTACGTAACATACTGTATGTACCAACTTTATTCAGCATTTGACAATTGATTATACAAATCATGTTCAACATTTCAATCCCACCGAACCAATATTTGTCTTTATTATTTTTATGTAATATAAACAAATGTTAAGTTATTATATATTGTTTCTGCGCAACAATAAATTTTCACACAAAAATATGCTTTCGGCATCAGCATGCAATATCCTTTTCATTTAATCTTTCCAATTTTTATTCTATTTTCTCTCTCTCTCTTTTTTTTGGCACGCACATATATATATAATTTGCATATTCTTGGCTCTAATTAGTGCCTAATGGAAAAATCCATTTTTTGTTAATGTACCTTGTTTTCAATATAACACATTTCTCGAGGATATATGCTACGTTCATACACTATGAACCACATTGCTCCATTGGGTATTAAGTATCTCAAAAATTAGAAGAAAAAAAAAAAAAAATAAAACAAAATATATGTGAACAAAAGTGACGGACACACAATCCAACCATAAAACTCAAGAAGACATACAATGGTGTTTCTGAATAACACATTTGCACTAACTTGCAAGAACATCACCACTAATACCTCATCATCCAAGAACTCTTGGATAGTTGAAAATAAGACTATATGTGTTTGCGATTTTAGAATAAATTATAAGGGTTGCGCTAATGAATCAATATTACAATTCTCGCATTGGGCATTGGTTCCTTATACAATCATCATCATAGTGATTTCCCTGGGGCTAATGTGGCATAGGATATTCGTGATGGGAGAACCGTTTTTCCTAACTCCCGCCCGAAAGCGAAGGATACTCAGGCCTAGACCACAAGTAGTTTTTCACCTGGCGGCCATCGTATTTAATTCCTGTAAGTTTAACTGATTCAGTGCGTTTACACGTGACATTCTCAAATTTTACCTCTTTTTTTTTTTAGTTTTCTTGATTCACATTCTTCTCGTTCTCACCAATTCATACTCGAACACCATTTTGGCGGAAAGTATGTGTTATACTGCCTACTTATAACCTGATTTCGATCATCGATGCATTATTGATTGTTAAAATATTTTTCAGTCGGACAGGATTTACCACGCGAACTTGGCACGGGACTAGCATTGATATATCCATTTAGTATGCGTAAGTTTGGATTCTTCAGGATCCTGAACCTGACACCTTCAAAAACCTTCGAATAACCTCCCCATGTGTGTTATTAATGTTAAAATAGTGTATTCAATACCCAACGATCGCGGCTCAAAAGCACAAATGTTAGCGTCAGAGGATGGCGCGCAATTGAGAAAATCGTCAAATAAGAGTCTCATTGACTTAACAGGATTCTTCGTTATGATCGCTCCAATCGCCACGATGCTTCCCCTGGCCTGCCTCACAGGCTACTATGCGGATCATGAATTGATCGCCGATGCACTTCAACTTTCCATGATTCACTCATTCATCTGGGCAATTTGGGTAGCACTATTTTTGGGATCATCGATATTCTTTTGGTGCAAACTAATCTTCATTATATGGAACAACATTGACGAACTGGAGAGGAAGAGGAAGAATGAGGGTTCGAACGTGCAATCTGAGATCGCGACCTTAAAGAAAGCAGCCAGAAATGTACGTACGATTGTTGTTTTATCGTCCGTATTAAAAGATTATTTGGCTTATCAGCTCTTCTCTACTTAATAGATATGTTTTGTTAAAATATTTTTGGTCACAGTCGTGATATGTATCATTACATTAACCCTCCTCTACACTATAGAACATAAGAACATTTTCTCAATTTTTGATAGAAACGTCGATATTATTTACCTGGTAGTTTGGGATTTCTCCATACCTATTATATTTAATATGACTCAGCTTAAGTTTTTATACAAGTACGTATTTTCTATGTCGTTATCCCGTACGCTTATTATCAACGTCCATACATTGACGATCATGATTTCTTGATCAGTATTCTGAGATCGGAATCTGAGCATGAGAATTCTACAGATATATTATTACAGGATTCAAAATCACTAAAACATCATTCATCCAAAAATTCAAAATTTGACTTCCATTCTACAAAAAGACTGGATGCGTCGAAGGATGATCAGGTGTCAATTGTTGAATTTGATGAGGAATCCACAATGCCCGCTAGTCCAACTAGTCCAATCTCGTTGGAAAAAAAAAAATTGAATGATCGACCGTCAGCCGAACTTCGAACTTCCGTTCAGTCAAATGACATTAGTGAAAGTCGCAGGGACAGTTGCGTAAGCGACAGTTCTAGTCGATTGAGCGATGGAACGATCCGGGTAAATCAAGACAGCGGAGGTGACAACTTCGCTAACAGCAGCAATGCGATAGATTCGAGCGTATGTGATTCAACTAGAATAATAAGCAGCAGTTCGTGGTCAAATTCAAGATTTTATCCAAGAGGTAGCAAACAGACGTCAATATCTACACTATCCGACCTAAGCCTTTCACCAACATCGTCGATATCGGATGAGGTTGGGATGACCATTTATCCGTCATCCTTAACACCACGAAGCAATTACTTTTTCAATACGAACCTAACGAGATCCCAAACCTTGCCGTTGCACCGTCACAAAAGCCATGAAAGTTCAATGGGACAAATCGCCGAAGAAATGTTGGGAAACAACAAAAACGATATTGATATTTTTTCATCGGATACCATTAATAACAATTTAATAAGGAGTAATGTAAACAATGGTGAAGGATATAATGATTACTCAATAACGAGTGACGATGTCATAGCATCGACGAGAGCATCCCGGGCAAAGTCGGAAGAGGATTTAACGTTGAGAGGAGATAGATCCAACCGTGTCGGTGGATCGCATCGAAGCGCAGAATTATATCAACAAGGAGAATCGGTTTCGATGGTTAGCATACCCAACATGCAAGATTGGTTGAAGAGACCTGTCTCGACCATCCCCAGGAAAAAGACAATATCACAACTTAATAATAAGCAAATTTGATAGCCTACGTATAAGGAAATCGATTTAGTATAATAGAAATTTTTATGTATTCTTGTACTATATAATTTATTGGCGTTCGTATTATATGTCCACTCCACTAATACATAATCTGCAGTGCAGAAGCAAAAAACTAATATTATCATTCTTAATAAATTGCAATCATGTAAATATTAGCGTATGACTAGAGGGCATAATTTACATTGGCTATGATGTGTTTTAAAAGGTACACATATACAGTATATAGAGCTGTTCGAAAATTAAATTGGGGTTTTTTTTCTGTTGACTATGCATGAAATTCATAAAATGCTTCATGTAAAGTACAGTATATGTAACCATGTAATTTTTCAAAAAATATGGTTATACTATAATATTGTTGATATAAATATTAATATAAATGAATTGGGGGGGTTTTTTTTTTGATAAAATGATATTAACTATTGGAAACCAAAGTTTCATATAATTATTACAAAATAATTATAATATCTTATAGGAATAGGTCTATACAAATTTGAAAACTTATTATAAAGAAAAAAAAAGTGTTAATAGAAAAGATTAATAATAGAAATAGTATATTTAAAAGAATTGGATTTTGAGATACTGGTTTCAAAAATTAGTTAAATCAATTTTAAATTATAAATTCTATTTTTTAGATATTAACAAAATCAATAAATTATTATTTTGAGTCAATTTTTTTTTAAAAAATATTTTTTGAAAAAGAAATTTTTAAAAATTAAATAAAATAAAAAATAATCATATTGGTTTTTTTTTTTTTTTGTTCTTTATTAAACTAGTTATATATATTTTATATATTAATTGGATAATTTTACAATTCAATATTTATCAAATAATATATACTATAGTTAAGTTTTTCCAAAAAAAAAAAAAAATGGTTTGTTAATTTTTTTTTTAAAAAACTCAACTCAACAATATATAATATTTATAAAAATAATAACTATATAACTTTTTTTAAAAGATTTATATAAGACTTAATACTGTAAATAAGTCATTAACAAAAAAGTATATATTAATACTAATAGTATTATATTTTATTCAAACTTTTAAAAAAAAATAAAAAAGTAAATCTGAATTACAATAAGATTAAGAAATTCAATATCAATTTTTTTAACTCTTAACTAAATCAATATACTATATATTAACATTTTTTTAAATATTTGAAAAAGTTTTATAATATTAAAATTTTAACTAACAAATTAATTAAAATACAAAATTTATAAGACTCAAAAAATGACAAAAATCTAAGAGCAATAATTAGAAAATATAAATAATAATATATTTATAATATATAAATAATTACTGTAAATATAATAATACATATTAGTGATCACAATTTTGATCTGAATTCAATTGATCCATGAATTGAATACAAATTGGATTGAATCAAATTTTAAAATTTTTAATTCAGATTCCGATCAAATTAAATTTTAAATTTATAAAATTATTATATTCAAATCTAATTCAGATCAAATCTAAATGGATTTAATAGATTCAAATCAAATCTAATATAATTCAAATTAGATATGAATCAATTCATATAAATTGTTATAAAATTATTTAATTTTATTTAAAATAAACTATCTAGAAAATTAAAATAGTTTTTTTTTAAATAATAATATAAAAAGCATATTAAAAAAAAATCCAATACTTGATTTTTTTTATGGTTTTTTAAATATTTTTTTGTAATATTATAGTTTTACTGCTCAATTACATTCATTATATTCTTTACTTTAGCTAATTTATTTCTTTTAAAAATGGAATATAAAAACTTATTTGATAGTATACAATTTGCATATAAGAAAAGTAATAGTTTAACTAGTCATGACAATATTAATATTGAAAATACTAATATAAGCAATCCATTGAAATTGGCCTCAGTTACCTCAACAATTTCTAGAAGTAAAGTATAGGAACACTTTATAAGAAGTACAAGTTTTAAAGAGGACAAAAAAACTACCTGTAAATATGCAGGACAATATATATTTATAAAAAAAACAGCACTTCTAATCTTATAAAACATCTTGAAAAAACTCATTTAGCAAAATTAAATTTAATAACCAACAATATTGAAATTATCAATTTTTTAGAACAAAGGTAATTTCAAATATTTTTTAAATTTTTTAAAAAAATACATCAATTTTTTGTATTTATATATAGTGGACATACAACTCAACAAAAATAAATAAATAAACTTGTTTAATGGATCATTATTAATTAGCAATCTTTTACAGTTATTCAAAAACTAGCTTTTCTTGCTTTTATACAAATATTAGTATAAGATACAAAAATACCATTGATTACTTCTATTAAAATCTATATACTGTAATAAACTATTATTTAAATGATCAAGAAAATTTTAAAAATATTATAAAAAATAGAAAATTGTGTTTCATTTATACTTGATATTTGAACATTGGTTTTAATAAAAGTATTTTTAGATATAACTGTCTATTTTATCAATAAAGATTAGAAAATACAGAATATAATAATAGACTTTATATAGCTGTGGAGCATCCATTCAAGTGAAAATATTAAAGAAATATTTTTATCACATTTAAAGAAATTTATGATTCAAATAAAGATAAATTTATTTATATATTTAAAATAAATATAATATAAGACTAAAACAATTTATTTAATTTAAAGATATTAGGAATTACAACTGATAATGTTATAAATAATTTTGTATTTGCTAAATTGATAGAAGAGTAAAGTAAAACCCAAACAATATCTTTTAGTGTAACAGAAAACCATTTCCGATGTTTTATGTATATTATTAATTTAAGTGTATAAGAAGCTTTAAATATATTAGGAGAAAATCTAAAACAAGTAAGCTTATATAGTATATAC